CATGCTTGTGAAAAGGTCCTTGATTAGAGGTGTTGCATAGCACTTGTCCTCTGTTTCACGTCCAGCATTTCATACAGCGTCTGCGCTTTGCTACTCAGTATGGGGCACCGTCCACAGGTGGTACCACTGCAGAGTCCTGGTCCCAGGCCTACAGCATCAGAATGTGCCTTTTAACAAGCTCCCTAGGTGACTCTTGGGTATGACTATGGTTTCAACTCCTAGTGGCCATTATACATACTAACATTAACTGACCATCAACAACTCTCCAGACATTGTTCTAAGCCCTTTACCTGCATTAACTCAAGTAATTCAGCAATTGTCATAGAATTCATTAACTCTGCTTTACAGATAAGGAAATGAAGGTGCAAAGAGGTTGAACAACTTGTTGGTGGTGGTCATACAGCTAGGGATAGTAGGATTAGTAAAAAAAGGAAGAAAAATATTTCCAGCACTGGGCATAAAACAAGGTACACATTGTTGATATTGTTGTTATGTGCTGTTGAGTTGTCTGCGACTCATAGTGACCCTATGTACAATGGCCCTAAATCCTATCCTGAGCCAACCTCACTGTCTCTGACATACCTATCCGCATTACGCCAGTCACTGAGTCCAATCCATCTCATTGAGGGTCTTTCCCTCTGCACTGTCACTCCATCCTTCCAAGCATAATGCTCCTCTCCAAGGACTGGTCCCTCCTTCAACGTGTCCAAAGTATGTCAGATGAAGCTTCAGAATCCTTGCCTCCAAGGAGCAGTGGGATTTCATCCTCTCCTGGACAAACCTGTTTGTTCTCTTAACAGTCCATGGTATTTACGATACTCTTTTCCAGCACCACACCTCCAAGGCATCAATTCTCCTTCTATCATCCCTAGTCATTGTCCAGCTTTCTAATGCATAGCACGTAATTGTGAACACCATGGCCTGGATCAGGTGCACTGTAGTCTCCAGAATGATATTGTTGCTCTTCAGTACTCTGGAGATGTCCTTCACAGCAGACTTACACAATGCAATTCATCTTTTCATTTCCTGGCTGCTGGTACCAAGAATGTTGATTGTGGAGCAAAGAAGACTAAAGCTGTTAACAATTTCAATCTCTTCACTATCCATCTAATGGTGCTAATCAGCCCAGTGCTACATGGTGGGTGCTTAATGGGTCTCTGTGTGACCTAAATGGGTAAATACTTGACTAGTAGCCAAAAAAAGTTGAGAGCTCAAATCTCCATAGAGGAATAATAGGGCTGATGATCTGTTTCTGAAAGTGACAACCTTGAAAACTGGGTGATTCTATTCTCCACACCTGGGGTCCCCATTCCAGAATCAACTCAGTGTCAAATAATAGCAACAGGTGCTTCACAGCCTTTTAATGGGTGCTGATCTAGAAATTCCAGCAGCTCAGTGTGCGAGAAATACTTGGCAAGTGCACCTGACACAATGTTGACCATGCACATTTGATTAGTTAATATACGTGCGACTCAGCCAGCTGTGGGCAGGTGTTCCTGGAGTTCTTGGAGTCAGGAGTCAGTATCAATGCCACAGTAATAGATTTGGAATTTTGGATGTCTCTTAGAACTCATACTAAGGTATTTTCAATCACCTCTTATGCGTGTACTGTCCTCAGAGAGGGACATCATGCTTGGAAAGGTGGAAGGATTGCTGAGAGAAAGGCTGAGAGAAAGACCAGGAGGGCTGACACAGTTACTGCAACAATGGGCTTGAGTGAGTCAGCAATTGTGAGGCTGGGATAGGGTTCAGATCAGTTGTTCTTAGGGTCAATATGAGTCGCACTTAAGAGCACCTAACAACAACAAAATACACATGTGCAGGGAACTCTAGTGGCACAGTCTTTAGGCAGTTGCACTGCTGACCCATGGCAACACTTCTCTGGCAATTCAAATCCAACAGTGCTCTGAGGAGTAAAGACAGACAATCTCCTTTCAGCAATTTATAAGCCTTTGAAAACGTGCAGGAGGGTCAGCTATGACTGGGTTCCAGCTCTGTAGCAAACAATGAAAAATGGAGTCAAGTATATGCCTGTTGGATAATGCATATGGGAGACTGAAAAATTTCTCTCTGTCAAAGAACAAACAAGTCTATCTTGGAAGAGGAGGAGTCAGAAGCAAGGATGGTGAGACTTGTCTCATACTTTGGGCATGTTATCAGGAGAAATTAGTCCCTGGAGAAAGACATGTGTGCTTTATGATAGCAAAGAGGGTCAGTGACAATGGGGATGGTCTGCCCCAGTGGCTGTACCAAAGGGCTCAAGCGCTGAAACAATTGTGAGGCTGGTGCAGCACTAGGAGAGTTGGCTTCTTTTGCGCAGAGCGTTGCTAGGTGTCTAAGTCTGAATAGACTATTCATCACCTAACGACTGACTGTGTGCCAGGTAACATAATTAACAAACTTTATGATCAAGTGTCATGCCCCCAATTTACAGATGAGAAAACTAAGTGTAAAAGAGGCTATGCATCACTCAGCAAGTCACATATTTATCACAATGATCAAGCGCAACTCAGAATTCACACCTAAGCCTGTCCAAAGTGCACTTTTACTGAAAGGCGAGCCACGAATCGGGGTTACCTTCCTTAAAAGGAAATGAAATCTTGGCGCTGCCATAGAGATCATAGAGGGCCGCTTAGCGCTTCCTTTGCCTCTTTCACTTTCCAGAAACAGCACTGAAAATCCCAGTTTCCAGATTTGGTCTTGGAAAGCCACGGCTAAGGACAGCACTTTTGAGTTTGAGCCTACGCCCCGCCCCTCAGCCTGGTTTTAGCCCATTCCAGAGTCTGGTCACGCCCACGCCCCCTCGGCCCGGCCACGCCCCCATCCTGCAGCCTGGCAACGCCCCCACCACGTCTCCGCCCCGCATTCTGCTATGCCCCGCCCCTCATCCCAGCCACGCCTCTATCCCCATGGCCTAGCCCCGCCCAGCCCCTGGGCCTGGCCACGCCCAGGTCAAGGTCTGTCGCCATTTTCTGTCTAATTTAAGAAGCAACAGGTTAGTTCCGCGGGGTGTCTTTCGGGGTCTTTCCCAGGTCTTACTCTTGAACTGTTCAGCAGAGGACGCTGGTTTGACCCTTAGCAGATGGGACAATACAGACTGTGGGCTGGGACGCCCTTTTCCTACATAGGGGCCCAGGGACGCTGTAGAGCTGCCTGTTGCCAGGGTAACAGTGTCATTGGCCCCGCCCCTCTGCCCCTGGCGGAGTGGAGTGGGCGTGTCCGGGGTTTACTGTGACATGAGGATCCTGCATCGCTCTGTCACTGGTGGACCTGCCAGGTAGTGTGTCCGGGAACAAAGGCCTGGCCCTTGCACATTGGAGCTTTCAGCCGCCTTCTACCCCTAGTGCAAGTTCATTCACTTTACTCAGTCTGGGTTCTGTGGGAGTTTGAAATGCTTGGACTGGTAAGAACCTCTGGGGTCGCTGAGAGAACATGTGTTCTGCCTCCTGCTTTAGGGACAAGGTTGCCTCACATTTGCCTGCCACTTGTTAACTGCTGCATGCTTTGGGTTAATCCCCAAATGCAGGTAATTGTGGAGACGCTGATCAGAACCAACAGCTTGTTTTTGTCAAGAGATGAATCACTGTCAGATTTCTACTCCCCTTTTGTAGATTACATACTACAAAAGAGCCTTGGTGGCCCAAAGGTTAAGTACTGGACTGCTGATCAAAAGGTGGAAAGTTTGGATCCACCTGTGTACTATCTGAGAAAAGACTTAGCAATCTACTTCTGTGAAGGTTTCAGCCTAGGGAAACCTTATGGGGCAGTTAGGACACCCTGTCATGTTTGGGTTGCCAGTTGACAGCACACAGCAACACAGGGTGTCCCAACCCTAGCTGTGGATTACAGTACCTGGTTTGTTGTTTGCAACTCCCAAGTTAATTATGTCTTGTAGCTACCCTATGAGACAGAATGACCCCCTGCCCAATTCTTTGCCACTCTTAAAATCTGCTGTGCTTAAGAGCCCATTGTTGCAGTTAGTTCATCTTATTGAAGATCTTTTTCTCCTTCTTTGAATCTCTACCTTTCCAAGCATGAAGCACTTTTCCAGGACTGGACCCTTCTGATAGCATGCCTGAAATGTCACCATCTTCCCCTTACGGTGCACCCTGGTTCATCTAAACAGGTGTTTACCCTTTTTATGGGTCCATGGTATATAGTCAGTGCTCTTTTTTTTTTTCTTTAATTAGTCAGTACTCTTTACCAATATTTGTCTAATTTTCACAAGCAGATGAAACAATTGAAAATAAATAAAGATGCACTCTGACCTTTTCCAGAGGCTGTGAACCACATGAGAGATTGCCCATCTTTCTCCCTCGGAGCAGCTGGTGGATTTGAACCACCTGCCTTTAGGTTGGCAGTGCAATACTTGAACACTAGACCACCAGAAAACAAGGTGTGGAACAATTAATGTAAAGGCACCCGGAAAAGAGAAGAGACTTGGAGATGGTGACATCAAGAGTTAATCCCTTTAGCTAATTCTTAGCATCTTTTCATTTTACAGAAACAAGCTCATGGTTTGTATTTTAAACAAATATGGACATGTAGGTACAAATTGTCCCCAGTTTCCCGTCATTACCTGTGTCACACTGCCAGGTCCAAACCAGTAGGGAGAGGCGTGTCATGATCAAAGTCAGGAGTCGTCCATCCAGCCGGCCTGACAGCTGCTCTCCTCCCAAGTTCCTTCATGCCAGGTCCCTGAGTCCCCGCTTGATGATGGCTTTGGAGGAACATTTTGAAGAATGGTTTCCCAACAGACGTTAGGGCTGGCAGCTCTCATGAACTGCCACCATAAATAACAAGGGTTCCTTAGCATTAAATGACAGTTGAAAGTGAAATAGATCACCTTGCTGTCATGCATGACATTTATAAACACAAATTCATCTTAAAAATAATCACTTAGTTTTAGAAGGCTAATAAGCCTGACAAATTCTGTTCAGTGTTTGATTGTGATGATTTTTCATCACTTAGGCTGCCTTTCTCAGAGACTCTGGTCCATGATGGCGGAGGATCAAGAGAAGGACTTGCAGAAATTCCTTAGGAATGTGGATGAAATCAGTAAGTGTGGGCAAATCACAAATTAAATCCTACTTTAGAGGGGTGGGGTCACAGAGAGAAACAAAGACTCTAAGTTAACACTCCCTCCCCCCCACCCCGGTTGCTTGACAGGTTTATAAGTCTTGAGAGGGGAGGAAAATGGAGTTAAAATGAAACAGAAAGGGTATTGAGAAGTGAGTAGTAACAGCAACCTTTGGACAGTGTTTTCTGCCTATTAATGGATATCAGAGAAGCTGTTAGCAATCTGGTTGAAAATCAGGCTGACAGCTCACCTCTCCTATTTTGTTCCTTTGCTGAGGAACCTGGTCAGAGCTGTTGATAGGTGCACCATCCTCACGTCTCTGCCACACTTAAGCCCATTGCCATAATCACTGTATCCATCCAACTTCTTGAGCTCATTTTTTTGAAGCAGAGTTTTGAGCCATTCTTTCCAGTTCCACCCTGTGCTGGGAGTTTGCATGTCCACCCCAAGTATACTAAATCACAAACTAATTTTGGGATCCCTGTAAAATTGTGTTGTTGTTATGTGCTGTTGAGTCACCTGTGACTCATAGTGACCCTATGTACAACAGCCTTAAAACCTGCTCTATCCTGTGCCAATCTCATTGTCTCTGACACACCTACTCCCATTAACCCAGTTACTGAATCAATCCAATACATTGAGAGTCTTCCTTCTGCATTGTCCCTCTGCCCTCTCAAGTATGATGCCTCTCTCCAAGGACTGGTGCCTCCTTGCAACATGTCTAAAGTATGTCAGACAAAGTTTCAGAATCCTTGCCTCCAAGAAGCAGCCTGGTTTCACTCTCTCTAGGACAAACTTGTTTGTTCTCTTAGCAGTTCATGGTATATTCAATACTCTTCTCCAACACCTCAGCTCAAAGGCATCAATTCTTCTATCATCCCTAGTCATTATCCAGCTCTCCGATATATAGCAAGTGATTGCAAAGGCCATGGCCTGTATCAGGGGCGCCTTAGTCTCCAGAGAGACACCGTTGCTCTTGAGTACTTTGGAGAGGTCTCTGACAGCAGACTTTCCCAACACAATACCTTTTTTAATTAATTTCCTGGCTGCTGGTACCAAGAATACTGATTGTAGAGCTAAGCAAACTGAAGCTGTTAACAATCTCAATCTCTTCACCATCTATTATTTATCCCTTTAGAAAAAAAACAAAACAAAACAACCAAAAACACCTGCTTCTCACACATTTCTATTTATCCTGATAGCCCCCCTGTTGGGGAAATTTACAAGTCACTTGGGACAGCTTCCATCTCTCAACCTTACATCTAATCTTTCATCACATTTTTACTCTTCCCCCCCCCCAGCCCATCCCCTCTCTCCCTTCCTTTTGTTGAGATTCTTTACACCTAGACTGTTTGAACAAGCCTTAATTGTTTTTCCTGCCTCCAGGCTTATGATCCCCACTGTGTAATGTATCTGTAATGCAAATCTGACCCAGACACTTCTCTGCTTGTATTCCTTATCCAGCCATAATAAATTCCAAGGTCCCTTCAGGACTTACATCCTCCCGTGACCTTGCCTTTATCAGCAGTAACAAATGGCTTGGAGTTTCTCAGACATTCTTTGTTCTTTGCTTTTGTCGTTCCCTTGGCCTCTATCCTTTCTCTTCCTGGCTAACTTCTCATTGGAGTCAGAGCTCATCCTGATAGCTAGGTACCAGTCTGGTTTCATAGCGCTTCCTGTGATGATGGAACTGGCTGCAGAGTCCATTCACTAACCACTGGCCACCTTGGCTGCTGAGTTTTTGAAATGCACCCATTGCTACTAAATAGCTAGCTAAACTTTAAATTTTATTTCATCTGAAAGTCATTTACATTTAACAGCCACATATGTATAGATCCTATACATTGAGTTCTTAGACTCCTGCTATTTGTTGAGTATTAGACACTGGAGATTGAAGTAATGATATATAAAGGTTAGGAGCTCTGGTGGTCTACTGTACTATGTGCTGGGCTGCAGACCTAAAGTTCAGCAGTTTGAATCAGCCAGCTGCTATGAGGAAGAAAGATGGGCAGTTTCCTCCCATAAATATTTACAACCTCAGAAGCCCACTGGTCACAATTATTAGATGGAACCTAGCAAAGGGTGTACTTTGGGGTTCTTTTCTGTAATATCTGTGGTCCAGTGGGGAACACGACCCATTGTAGTTGACTTGATGCCACCTAACAATACAACCCAGTGGGGAACATAGACATTAAACAAGCAGTTTCAAGTATGATTTATGATACAGAAGGAGATTTGCAAAATACAGTGCAACCTGACATAATTTAGGGAGTCAAATGCAATTTCTATGAAGAAGTAAATTTAGGCAAAAATTTAAAAAGTGAGTAGAAGCTGGCCCCTGGGGAAAAAGGTGAAGGCATATTCTCAGTGGGAACACAGTTAGGTAGAAAAGAGTGTAGGGCCTTTAAGAATCTGAGAGAAAAATAAGCTACTATCCTGTGAGGGAGAAGTGGTAGAGCGAGAGGTCCCTGGTGAGTCTGAAGGGTCAGATCAGGTAATGCTTTAAAACCGAGATGAGAACTTGTGTTTGCTTCCAGAACAAGGGGAATCCTTTGGAGCATTTGCCTAGTGCAGGAGCATAAACACATTTACACTTCAGAACAGTCCCTCAGGCCTGGAGTGGAGAAGAAAATGGAAGCTCAGGGTACTTGAAGGAAAAGATAACTGGTGGCTGGGTTTAGAGGCGTGGCATTGGAGTGCATACAGTAGACAGATTCAAGATGCAGTTCGCGGTGTACCAGGGCAGTTTTGGTGTTTGATAGCTGTGAGGACTGAGCGAGATTGAAAGCTCAAGGATAGGATTAGTCCCACGATTAATTTGGGTTGTAACAATGGGCGTGTATTTGAACTGTTCACTGAGAATAGAGGTCACTGGAAGGGAAAGAAGAGGTGTGTGTTAAGTTTGGGGCATAGGATAACCTGGTGAAGAAGCTCAGAGAACATTTGACTTTGTGAATGGAGACAGAAGAAGCAAAATGGAGCTGGAGATTTAGGAGGCCTTGTTGTGTAAATGAAGCTATTGGTAAAAAAAAAAAACCAAAAAAAACAAACCCCAAGGATGCCTAGAAAGAGGGTAGAGGAAATAAAGTATTTTGGGAAGAGCATTGAAAAAGAATTTAAAGGGTAGATAGAAGACAAAAGAATAAGCAAGCAAATGATCCCAAAAGCAATCATTAGAAAGAAAAATTTGGAAGAGTCTGTGTTATGGAAGCAAAGGGAAATGAAAATGACATAGAGAAAATACAATCAGAGAGTGTGGTCAAAAGTAGAACTAACTAAAAAGTGGGCTCCAATTTAGCAACACAGAGGCTGTTGGTTCACTTTGACGGGAACAAATTAGAACAGGAAACCAAATCTTCTTGAGTGAAAAACAAAAGGGGTCAGTCTTCCCTTCCCCCAAATCGTGCAGATTAGATCATATGAAAATCCTTGCACTTCAGAACATCTGGAAAGGCTACATAAAGTAGAACGATGTTGTTATTTGACATCAAGTAGCAAATGACTCAAAGCTGACTCTCCAGTGGGTTTTCTCCCCATGGGAAAAAGATGGGCAGTTTCCTCTCATGCCGTTTACTGCATCTGAAAACCTGCTAGAGTACTCCTCGGGTCTAATGGAAGCCAAGAGAAATGAATAGTTGGATTCATTCAGGATTGAGGTGTCTGTCTTGTAGACAAAGTAGGACAATGTGAGATTTCTTAAGAGAGGCAGCCTCTTGGCCAAAGTGGACCATGTTATCTAAGCTGGAGGTGGAGAGCAGTAAAATAAAGGCAGGTAGAGATAGGAGTAAGAGCTGTGTCTGTACTTTCATGTTTGTCTCCAACAAAGATTGTAAGCTCCTAAAAAATAAGAATCCTTTTATATTCATAATTGTGTCCGTTGCACTCGTAAATTCCCCATAAATTATTGCTGAATTGAATGATGACTTAAAACTCTCTTCCTAAAACACCAGAGTTAAACTCACTGGCAACTTATTCCCCAGGCAAAATAAATCCCATTTTTATTTATTTTTTTCCTTACTGGTTCCAATTTTTACTTTCTACTCAGAACACCCTTTAAGTTCTTCCCCATGGAATTTTCCACACCATCCTTTCTCTTGAAAGTCTCTTTCCTTCTTAAAATCTTGTTTGTTTGATTCACATGTGATTTCTTTTCCAGCCAGTTTAATTCAGGGGATGAATTCTGATGACCCAGTGGTGCAACAGAAAGCTGTCCTCGAGACAGAAAAAAGACTACTGCTTACAGAGCAAGACCAAGATGAGGACGAATGCAGGACCAAATTGAACAAGACGGTCATCAGTCCTCCATCAAGTTCCACAAAGGTTTCCCTTTTTTGTTGCTATGGAGTAATACACATAGATAAAGTGAGGCGGTATTGAGCGGAGCAAGCGTTAGTCTTTTTCTCAAACTATTTGTTGTTGTGTAGTCGACTGTGATACAGAGAAACCCTATGAAGAACAGATCGGAACCTTACCCGGTCCTCCCAATCTCCGCCATACCCATTATTACAGTCACTGTCCATCCTTCTTATTGAGTGTCTTACACTGGCAAGGCTGAAATAATCTTTTTCTTTCTTGGATGCATTAGATTTATTTTCTACAAGGAAGTACAAACCCTCCCCTTGTCCCCACTCCTAGGTCTTTCTAGGTCATCTTTAAACAATGCTTTGGGTTTGCTTTATTGACAGTCTGATCTCCTACCTCCCTGAGCTTGAGACCTTTATTTAAGCTGCACTGTTAAGGTAATATATTCTCCTAACCCCAATTCCCAATGCCTGTAGCCACAGCTGAGCCCCTTGACCTGGAAAACCTTGTTTCTGCAGACTCAGCCCCAGTTCTCCTGAGCTCATGCCCCGGATCTCCTGATATAAATCAATCCTGTGGAATTTTAGGTGCCCACCCTACCCATATTGGTGGATAAAGGAGATAACCTGACTTCTCACTTAATTGATTTGCCCTCTTTGTTTGTATTATATAGAAATCAGAGCATGGCTTTTTTAAAACTGTGTTTCTTTGTTTTCATGCTAATCTGTGTCCTGTAGAATGCAGATGACATGAACTCAGGTAAGAAGAGCAACACTCTTCCCAGTGTGTATTATTTATCTAACATCAGTTTTTATTGATTGTAGCTCACAGACCCTTAAATTATATCCTCTGGGCTTACAAACAACCCATGAGTGAAACCAGTGGTGAAGGAACAACACTTAGCAGCTTTTCTTTCTTTTTATTTCCTCCCAGTCTTGGTAAATTGAATCCTGTCCAGTTTGCTTCTAGCTGCTCAGGGGATCCTGATAGTCGTGGTGTATGTAGCTCAGCTCGGCAGCTCATTATGCTAAGTGGAGCTGGAAAAAAAGTATCTCTTAAAAGAAAATTTCTTTTAAAAGGCATAATTCAGATTTGAAGCATAGTCATAGCCATCATGTATAATAATACATCGTGCAGATTACCATTTAATGTCAAATTAAGAAAATGTCATCTTAGTCGTCTCAGAAATTGTGCGTGCGTGTGCGCCCATATGTGTATGCGTGATAAGCGTGACTCGAAAGCTCTAAAGTAGCTTTCTCCTAAATTTGAGCTGAGGAACTGATTATAGTATTTGGATTTTTCTTTTTTATATTCGAAATGACTATGCTGTCAGAGGCCTTCCTGGTATCTTTAGAGAAGGATGCAAAGGAGCGGGCCAAGAGAAGACGAGAAAACAAAGTCCTTGCGGATGGTAATTGTCAGTCTTAACTTTTTAATGGCTGGAATGATTTGTGCCAACAGAACGCGTATGTCTATATGCTGATGTTTAAAGACAATGAGATTCCCAGGTATTTTATATTGGTCCCAGAACAACAGGATGGGCAGGTATCCATCACTGGTGATCACTCCCCATCCCTGCTGTACCACACAGGAAGCCTCATCCAACCCCAGGACCCTCCTTCTAAAGTACCCGGATGGACTTAGCACATTAGACTTTAAGTATTCTTTCCATTCTAAATGTTTTGCGCCCACCTAAACAATGCTTAGAGAGCTCTGGTAGCCTGAGGGGTAAAGCGTTACCCAGCCAACCCAAAGGCACCTAGTTTGAAACTACCAGCTGCTCTGCAAGAGAAAGATAGGTGATTTCCTCCTGTGTGAGTTACTGCCTCTGAAAAATCCACTGGAGGGTCAGCTATGAGTCGGTTCAAAATTGACATCACGTAACAACAAATAATGCTCTAGGAGGTTTGGTGGTGTAGTCCGTAGGGAGTTGATCTGCTAACCTGAAGTCTTTGCCTCTCTGGTGGTTCAAACCACCAGCAACTCCATGAAAAGAAGATGGAACATCTCTTACCATGAGATTTACAGGCTTGGAACACTGCTGGAGGGTCAGCTATGAGTCGATTTTGACTCCTTTGCAATGAGTAAGTTTGTAGTAAACAGTTCTTAGACAGTAATGAAGGATTGAGAGAAATGTTGGTTAGCCTAGGACTCAGAGAAGTAATAAGAAAGAAAAACAAAAAAGGAAACAAGAGAACAAAGATATAAGAAGGGAAAAGACAATGAAGGGGAATTAGGGAAGGAGGCAGGCTAGAGGGTGGAGATGCAGTTGACAGAAGAGGCTTTCAGCCTTTCCCCTGCGCTTCCAAGGAAATGTTCCACATTGCTTAGAAAATCATTTTCCCCCTTTTATGAGATGTGGGATGTGTAAACACTTAGACTTGGTCTTTGTTGCAAGCTTGGGATTGTTTTGACCCTAGAAGCAGAAACATTGCTTTTTCTGAGACATTCCTTCAACTTGGAGATGAGTTTGGAGGGGAAAAAATAATGCATAAATGATGATGCCAGTCATGTAACATCTAAAAATGAAAATAAATGACTGTTCTTTAGATGCCCTATAGCGGTTGTTGTTGTTAGGAGTTGTGGAGTCAGCTCAACTCATAGTGACCCACTGTGGAATAAACATAACCTGACTGTTGTGGTCACTGTGTCCCGCCAACTTGTTGAGGGCTTTCCTCTTTTTCACTCTCTACTCTTCAAGGGAGCTCTGGTGGCCTAGTGGTAAGAAGCTGCACTGAAGTCTCAATGACACGAGGTTCAAATCCACCAGCTGCTCTGTGGGAGAAGGATGGGCAGTCTTCTCCCATGCATGTGATTTACTGCCTCTGAAAATTGCTTCCGGGTCAGCTTATGACCCTGCACACAGCAAGAACTTATGACCATGGCACACAACAAGAACTACTTTTCAAAACGTATGTTAATTCAGGGACTGGCCGCTCTTGATAACAGGCTTGAAGTATCTTAGTCAGAGTCTCACCTTTCCAGATAGAATTGGAAACTTAGGGAAGTACATTCTGAAGTAGCTTTCCAAAGTAGAATTACAGCTCACCTGTTTGTCTCCTCTTCCCATAGCCCTGAAGGAAAAGGGGAATGCCGCATTTGTGAAAGGTGATTATGAAACCGCTGTCTCGTACTACAGTGAGGGTTTGAAGAAGCTGAAGGACATGAAGGTGCTGTATACCAACAGAGCCCAGGTCAGTGAACCAAGAATGCACCAGTGCATTTTTCCAAGGGGACAGGAAGACTAAGCTGGTGAAAACAGAGACAGACAGTAGCTCATGTGGGTGGTGCACAGATAAACATTTGACAACCAGCTCTTATTTGGGGCATGGAAGATGCTGGTTAGTAAATTGTTATTATTGTTAGTTGCTCTTGAGTTAGCTTCTACTCGTAATGACTCTGTGTCCAACATAACAAAGTCCTGTACCATCTTTAGGGTCACTGTTTTGGCCACTCGGGTTTTTTAATACCTCATAGCCTATGGCAGTCATCTTCCAACACCCTGTCAGACAATACTTTTTACGTGATCTGTGTGGTTTTTCACTGGCTAATTTTCAGAAATATACTTTTTTTGTTGTTGTTATGTGCTGTCGAGTCTCTTGCGACCCACAGTGACCTTGTGTATAATAGCTGTGCAGCCTGCCCTGCCCTGAGCCAGTCTCACTGACTCTGACATGCCTACCCTCATTGCCCTAGTTACTGTATCAATCCATCTCATCCAGGGTCATCTTCTCCTGTGCTGTCCTTCCACCTTTCTGAGCATGATGTCCTTCTCCAAGGACTGGTTCCTCCTGACCACGTTTCCAAAATATGTGAGACAGAGCTTCAAAATCCTAGCCTCCAAAAAAAAAAAAAACAAAAAAACAACCCTCCAAGGAGAAACTTGGTTTCACCCTCTCCAAGACAGACCATTTTGTTTTCTTGGTGGTCCATGGTATGTATGTTCAAGACTCTTCTCCAGCACCACAACTCAAAGGTATTGACTCTTCTGTCATCCTTAGTCATTGTCCAACTCTCTGATACATGTTCTTTTATAATATAATAGTTCTTATTACACCAATACATCTTGATTAAGATTCTCTGTTAGGCTACACTGGCTAACTGAAGGGTCAGCTCTGAAATCACCAGGTGATTTTATACTCTATCACAGGTGGGCCTAGTCTCCTGGAACACCAAATAAAACCACCACTCATATGTTTATTATTTGCTACTGAACTGCAACCTACTTCCCCCCCCTTGTGCTTTATTTGTAGCAGGTGTTGAGTAGTGCTGGCTTAGTGACATGCAATTGGAAGCCAAGGTTGATGTTCCTAAATGATATTAAAAAGCCACTTGTGGCCTTCTCTTGGAAAAGCTGTTAGGTTTATGTGCATGGCAGCTTTTCTGTGCTCCTCAGGCTGGACAATTGGCAGATTCATGAGCTGCTGTTACGTCGTCTGGTGGTCAGGATATGTTAGCAGGAGTGGTGTGAGACCAACTGGCTGCCAGGTCATGATTAGGAGAGGCGAAGAGGCAGCCGAACCCTCATCAGCTCTAATTTCTGTAACTCGAGATTAAGAGTATCTCCCTGTCGTGTGCAAGGAAGAAACTTGAAAGCAAGAAATAGGACTTTGGGAGAGAGCAGGTTGTCTGGAGACTGACAGTGATTTAATGGCAAATAATCCAAACACAGGATAACCATGTTAGTTTAACAGATTGAATATATCAGACCAGAACTGAGGTGTCATTTATCTCACTCCCTTTGTGGGAGGAAAAATTGTTAATACGAAGCAAACTGGTAAATATGCTGAACAGAGGTTGATTTAGTTTCTATTTATCACCATAACAGGATTATCAACTTTTGGAGAGGAAAAAAAATTCAACCCACCCCCATCTTGGTTTTATAATTGATGTGCAATATAATTGACATGCAGTAACTCCTTGCTCCATTACACAGCACCAAAACAACAGGCTAAAACTTTCCAACAATCTTACCAACAAGGATTAGGCGACATTCTGTTCTTTTAGATATGACGTTGTTCTGAGTCAGAGCTGATTTGATGTTAGATAACAACAAGACTTATGGCTGAGTGATGAGGAGTGCACTGCCAAATCAAAGGTAAGTGGTTCGAAACTACGAGCTTCTCTGTGTCAGAAAGATGAGCAGTCTCCTCCCGTGCTGTTTACAGCTTCTGGACGGTCAGCTGTGAGACGATTCCTACTCAGTGGCCCACAGCAACAACAAGCAGTTAACATAAAACTGGAGACGCGTGAATCTACTTAAAGGAATTAATTTTCTGACTATCTTTAGAATCACTTAAGCACAAACAATTAATATACTAATTGAGTTTATTTTCATTTGTCATAAATGTTGGTCTCCAAATCATCTGTCTATTGATACAGAGGTGCCGCTTAATGCAGTCCAGCTTGTTAATCTCAAGTTCTTTAAAGCAGGGTAATAGAGTTGCTTTATAATGGTGTGCCATTCTGACTCACATCTAACTCAGACTGTATACACAGGATTCTGGTTTATTTTACATACAGTTACATTTTTACTATGCTCAGTTTTCAGTAGCACTTTTATTAGTTCTGTCTGAAAATCACATTAAGAACAAATATGGATAAATACAAGCAAATCCAAAGACTAGCTTTTGGGAAGTAACTCTTTGCCACTTTCCTAGAAGAAAAAAAAAATTATCCAGAGACAAAAATGTGCTGCCTGGTGTTATGAATGATTTGGACCATTGACTGTCTTTAAAATGCCTCCCCAGTTGCAAGCCATGCTAAAAAGCACTTAATAAAGATCCTGTGACTTGAGTGCTGCAGCTTGCTAGAGAGAAAACCTCCCTTTGATCGGTTTTTGTGTGGGGGTTTTTTTTCTCTCCTGAGGCTAATGTTATGATCAATATAGTGCTGGTGTGGTTTAAATAAATTTGGAGTTTATTTGCAATTTGGAAAAAGCCATTCTTTTTAAGATGTGGAAAATAAAATAGAATGCAGAAGATACAGGTCTTGGATCCAAGCCTTTAAGAAAGAAAAGATAAAATAGAGAGATCAAAGGCTGTGCAGAGAAATTGCTGAAGTCCATAGACTTTTCAGCATCTAGCTCAGAATGACAAAGCAAAATACTACAAGGAAATGTGCGAGGAACTAGACTCAGAAAATCAAAAGGGCCGAACTCGCTCAGCATTTCTTAAGCTCAAGGAACTGAAGAACAGATTCAAACCTAGAGTTGCTGTAATCAAGGATGCTTT